CCCCCCCCCCCCTCCTCTATTGCCAACCATTTAATTATATATAAAATAAATACCAACTATTTCCGTACCTAATTATTTTTTTTATTTAATTTCCACGTCACCCCTCACTCCTCCACACCAACCACACGTACGACTGTATTCACATGTATTTTCTAAACCACTTATTTTATATTATAATAAATAAATAATAATATAAAATTACTATAATATTTAAAAATAAGAAACTTACAAATAAGATCATGGATTTTACCATCCATGGGGAGTTTATTCCCTTCCAAATAAATACTTGCCAATTTTAATTTAAAAGAAAAAAAAAAAGCTGACATTTGTTTCCAAAAATGCCCCGTAGTTGTTAAAGGGATAACGTGTAACAAAATTTGAAATCTAGAAAGTCAATAAAAGGGAATTTGGGTAATTTGGGTAATTTGCAATAGTCAAATACAGCCTGTGGAAAATCCTTTCCTTCCGCGCAATTCTAAAACTAAAGAAATTATTATTTATAAAAAAAGAAAAAAGAAAAAATTGGATTGGTTGAGGGGAAGAGAAGATTTTGTAGGTTTAGGAGATATTGTGGATTTAATTTAAAAGGGTGAGTGGGATCCACGTCATCAGTGATTTGGAGATTTTCTAGAAAAGGCGACAATGAAACGCTTGATTATTGGGTTCCCAATTCCTCCTTTTTTGGGTAAACTCCAACTCACCGCCTTATTCATTGCATCCTTTTACACCACATCTTTAGTACCCACTACCTCACGTTTTCCAACTCCCCTATTAAATTTCTTCCTTCTTTTTTTTCTTAATTATTAATATATATATAATTGTAAAAATCTCTCCCTAGCTGACACTATACATAATATATTGATTTTGGGTTATGTTTAGGAATTGGTTAATAATATATTTTATCTTATCTTCGGATTTGGTTAGTACAATATTTTATTATCTTTAGGATTTAGTTTATAGTTTGTATTCTATTCAAACGTTTGTAAACATTTGTGAAAATTGAACGTTAGATCCCACTGCAACTTTTGGATCCCATCTATGTTTTTCAGTACTCTCAATCTCACTCTGTTTCTCATTCTTAGCATAACAGGATAAATGGGAGAATATCTATGAGAGATGAACTTTGACTATTACAAAAAATATATATATATATATATATATATACCGCGCGAGATCTCACCTTGGTTGGAAAAGAAAATGAAACATTCATTGTAACTATGTGAAACATTTTCTCGGTTGACGTGTTTACCGGTGGAAAGAAAGAGACAATTATGCTTGCAACGTTAATATATATAACAACGACTAGTTTTTTTTTTTTAATATTTAATTAATTAAATAAATAAAGGGTTGCAAGTGGCTTCGTATCAAATCCACATTTTGTCTTCCACAAAGGGGAAAGAGAAAAATAAATAAATAATAACAGAAAAGAATAATGGAGTTTGGATATTCTAATTCTCATTGCTTGCAAATAAACCTTTGACCAAAAGCAAACATAAACAAAATTACCAAAATACCCCTTGTGGATTTAAACGGAATAATCTGATTATATTATGTTTATAATTTTATAATTATAGATTTATTAAAGATTTTAATTTTGAATAAATTTGAAAAAAGAAATTAACTAAAATAAACAAAAACGGAACCGTCATTGACCCGGATAGCGGCCCCACTATTGCGGACTTGTAAATGGAATTGAATTGGATTAATTGTTTCTTCTTTTTCAAAAACAGAAACCGGACAAAGTCACGAAAATGAAACGGAGGTGGGTAGAATTTTCCGTAGGAAACAATTTTCTTTTTAGGGATTAAGAGGAAAATAAATAAATAAATTTAAAAAATAAAAAAAGAAAAAGGCAAAGCGTCTTTGATTAGCATAGGTATACGCTCCCACGCGCTCGTTTTACGTCATTATCCACGCGCCTTCTACCTTCTCTCTCTTCTTTGTCCCCCTTGTATAAATCCCGTCCTTGAATCCCCGCCCTAATTGTCTCACGTTCTTTGTCGCGTCTATCCGTTTGAACTTTGCAAAATCAATTCAAAGAAGAAACCCTAGTTTCTCTCTCTTGTTCTTATGGAGAATCAAATTTCCAAGAAGCGGGATCGGGACGACTCGGCTGAG